CAGGACCTCTATCCTTTATGTAATCTGTGCAAAAAATCTGTTTCACAGGTAAACTGCAAATGCTTAGTTTGTGTGATGTAGTGATTTGAACACAAGATCTGCACTGGAATGCTAGAATTGCCTAAAGATGCCCTTAGGCCAGTTACTTATCTCCTCTGTGTCTCAATTTCCCCATGTTTAATGCAGCACCTACAGTGTCTCACCCCTAGGGATTCAAAAGAACTGACTATAAACAGCACAGGTGCTGAATTTCAGCATGTACAAAGCGGCACCCGAATCATCGCATCAAGGCCATTTCTGCAAACTGAATATGTCGCATATATACGAGAAAAAAAGATTCTGCTTCAAAGTCTTTATCTGGGCAAGAACACGATGTGACAGGCAGGTCTAGAACATACGCAGGAGGTATTCGTTTCTTTGAAATACATGAACTAGAGACATCAACAATGCCTATTATCACTGTCCAGCTCCTGTCATCGGTATCACATATGTTATGATACCAAATTTCTATAAACACTAATTGCATACGTAGAAATCACGTAAAGATAAATATATTTACCTTGATCACGTCTGTGGAGGCCTGCAACACAGGTACCCTGAGCACATACGCATGCAGTGATGGGAACTTAATTTTCTACTCTTTATGAAGCCACAAAAGTGTAAGAGGGTAAACTGATAAGCCAAGTATGGATTTGTCCAAATCAAACAATTCTAGACAACTAAATGAGCAGCTCTGTATTTACATTTGCAAGCAGAGGCTTAAACTGAGGTTGCAATATCTGGAGATCAGCAGGGTTCTACCCACCAGAGTACTGGAAGAACTGAAAGACAGCAAAAGATGCAGCTATGAGAATTTTTTTTTTTAATAAAAACCATTTAAGCTTGCTAATTTTTGCTGTCTCAGACAATCAAAATTCCAATTGTCTGGGACATCAAATCTAAAAAAGCATGAAATTAATCTTCAGAAGTTAAAGTCTTAAATGCATTGCATCATTATTTTTCTTGGATATATTTTTGATTATAATGCAGATGAACCCCAAATTTAATAAAACTAAAATAACATGAGTTAAGTATGAAACATAACAGGATATTGCAAAGAGATTAGGTAGTTTCCTTTAGACTACTTGCAGAGCCCAAGGAAAAACCAAACTGAGGGAGACAATGACGAGAAGGCACCACTTAATTAGAATATTTAACAGAATATGAAAACAGAATACTCATAGTACCGGTTTTGGCAATGAAACACGCTGAGAATATGGACCCGAAACATCAGTAGTTCTCTACAGCAGATACTGTTTTGCCTGTCAACTGTCTGTAGTAAAGAAAGAAGCAGGCTAGCTAAATTTAAACCAGCTGTAACGATGAGAGTGTTACAGTTGGACTGAAGGAAGGTTACCTCATGAAAGTATTGTGGAAACTGCTGTTGGAAAGATAATAAAAGGATTAACTGCAGTTTTAGTGAACCATTTACTTTTCAATCAAAATGTCTCATGTATTTCCTGTTCTCAAGTAGCCTGAATTCCAAAATTCCTTTGTCTATTACAGTACATAGTAGCAAAGCCTGTCATAAGAAATTAATAATTTTACATGGAAAAGTACTTTTATGTTTGAGGGCGGGGTGCTGCTCACTCTTAGCTTCTCCTGAGCAGTTCAATACCTAGTCAGCCAGTAATTTTACAGAGAGGAACAAAATCAAGGGCTTAAAAGAAAGTACAATGGGTAATTGTGAACAGCGAAAGAAAATCTCCACTACAAATACCCAGAGATGTAAAGTTACTTTAACAGGGCCACAGCAAAAACGAAACAAAATCTCAGACCTCTATAGACAGAGAATGAATTGCCTTCTTAATTTGCAGGAATAACAGCACAATTATTACCACATCAAAAGAAAAGCCATCATTTAAAATGACATGACATCACTGCACAATGAAACACTGCACGGCAACCCTTGTTTAAAGTGGAATGGAATTCACTGGGCAAATAATCCCCACTTGATATTAATAACTTTAAGAAGTTGTGTTGTAGCTTTGGATCTTGTCCCTGATAGATCAAGGTCCTTCCAGGGCAGAAAACTGAATTTGTAAAGAAGACATATTTTTCATGTGCTCACTTGGATCTAGCTTTGCTCCGCACAGGATTCCAGGTTGTAACATTGAATACACGGATACCTCCGCTGACAGGGAAAGGCTCTTATTCTGGGAATAGAAGAGTTAACTGCAAGTTGTGCAATGTAAAGCTCTTAATTCTGATTGGGCCATTCCATGTATGGAAACAACTACAATATCTGCTCAAATAAACCAGATCTTTATGTACTTACATGCCAAGGCTATACGCATGTGCCATGAAGGCTGCCTGCGATATCAGATGCAAAGGTTTTTCCAACCTATTCACAATGTTAAACCTGGAGATGTTATCAAAAGCCAGCTCTTAAATGCAGAGGAACATAATTGAAAGTAGGAAATTTTTAGCATTTGTTAAGATATTACATGATTTAATGTCTTGGGTTTATCCAGTTTCCTGTAGGAATGGGAATGTAACATTAGAAATCTGCTATACCATACCTGTCAAATACGCATTTTGCAGAAAAAGACAAAAGTTCCCTCACCCATGGAGTCTACTCAATCTTTCAGCATCATAGTAAAGCTAACCAGGGTTCCACATTGTAAGTATTTCTTTTAAAAAGTGTGAGATAAAAGTAGGAAGAAGACTGATCTCATTCCAGATGAGAAAAACACTAAAAAACAAAACTAGGCTAAAATAAAATCTGCAAGTATGCTTTCACAGCTTGCTTAGTCATACTTTTGTTCGGAAAGAAGCAACTAACTTGCAATATCCTTTGATGATTTACAACCAAATAAAAGATATGCATAGGAATTAAAATTCCTTTGTACTTTTACAAATTGTGATTGAGTTACTTCTAGAAATGCACAAGTCAGTTCTTTCTCTCAAAGGAAAAAGAAACAGGTGAGTCTTAGAGCATTTCCATTTTATCTTGGACAACTTGATGGTGTTCTCTGAATACCTGCCTTGTTTCCAGTATTATTTCAGGGAATACCCACCGAGCAGTGCAGACATTAGGATAATGTTTTTCATTTATCCAATATAAGTAAAATGATAATCAGGGTGCCCACTTACAGAGAAAATTTTTCTCAGTAAAACATTTGAATATTGTTGTTTTCTTCCTTCTTCCTTCCATAACCATTGCAGGCCACCAAGCTTTTTCTTGAGCAAATGTAAAAAAGTAAGCTTTTTATATAAACATGCTTTCCTATTTCTCCATAGAAAGCTACAGCTACAAACAAATAGAAAAGTTGGTCTTGACCTAACTTCCTTATACGCATTTTCCATTATATCATTCTCTGACCAAAACAATAAACTGTAGTCGAAAATTCTGCCTATCCAGAAGCACAACCTGCTGCCATAACCATTCCCTTTGTTTGTGCTTATTTGTGCGTGTGCGGGTGTGTATGTGCATGCACACGCATGCGTGCGCATATGGGTGTTAAAAATAAGACTTTCCAAATTTCATGGCCCAGTTTGGAAGCTTATGTCAAACTTGTTTTGCTTCATCTGTTTCAGTCAGGGTCTTATACCATTGTTGTTTCAAACATGTGGAAAGCTTAATGGAAGTCATTAACTTTTATTTTAGTTTGGCCATATTGTCATCATGGTGGGCAGATGCAGAGATGGTGCTATTCCCAAGATCCTCTTTTTGGAACACTGATGTTGTTTACATCTTCTTGATCAGAAGAGAACAATGGGTTTTACTTATTTTTAAAGCTCTGCTTTGTAAATTAAAAAAGCCCCTAACAACCTTTGAAAATGTAATTAAAGATACTCCTTTATTCTTTTAACTGTTTGAAACCCTTAACAAGTTTTTTTTTTTCTTTTCTAAACTACCATTTGAAACTTTTGCACTCACAACTCTATGAGTTATTGTTTAGCTGAAGGAATGAAAAGAATTTCATTAGATGTGTTTTATGTTTCTTGATTAAAAATGTCACCCGAGGCTCAGTGACTTTGTTTTATGTTAAATGACTGCTGCCTGCTTTGATCATCACTTTATTAATGCTTTAATGAATATTAAAAAAAATAAAGCACTGTATTAAAAGTTAAGCTCTCATATAAGGAAACTGAATCCCTTTTCCAAGAACTACAGTATTTCTTACTCAAACATTTCCTTCTAGATTAAAGTTTTCTCCGATTCCCCTTTAGCCTGCTGCAGACTAAGTTACAGGAAAGCACAATTATAAGCACAACAATTATATTGGAATAAGACTGAAGAGAAAGAAGGAAAGAGAGCAGAGTAGTATGTTTCTATTCAAACAAATATATTCCAGACTTACCATGCACTTGTTTGGTTTTTCTCCAGAATGAACCCTCATATGAATCAGCAGTTTGTAACGAGCATTGAAGGGTTTATATCGGCGGACACAGCCTGCCCAAAAGCAAGTGAAGTCCTCTCCTTTCCGCTGGTCAATGTGAGTCTTTTCTATATGCCTGACCAGTTCGTCTTGTTGGTCGTAAGTGGCACTGCAGTCAATCCACCGACAGACCTGTTTGCCATTGCTGAGGTCCTGTTCGTCCCCATCGCCGGGCTGAAGGGACTTGGGAGACATAGAGGTGTGTAAGTGGGGCAGCGTCCCTGCAGTCTGGCTTAGTTGCTGGTGTAGATGGTAAGGGGGAGGCAGCCCCTGGTGATGTCGAAAAAGATCAGCAGTGGAGGAATAATCGTCAGCTGGTTCTTGTTTTAAGAAACTCACCTTCTGGGTGCTGTGCGAGGTGTTTTGATGCGGAATGTTAGTACCATTCATCATAAGGCTGAGGCTTCCATTCTCCTCGACTTGCTGCATTTGTATCTGCTCACAGTCACCTCTGTCACATTCAGCAGAAATAGGTACAAGACATGCTGGAGGGGAGGGAATACTGCAAGGGTTTCCAGGCTGAGAGCAAGACTGTGGCCGAGAGGATTTTTGAGCACTGTGTTGACTGATCTCCACAGGATGAGAGGAAATGCCAGCTGAATTAGTTCGCAGTCCATTCACACAGGTGACCAGTGACGTCTGTGATGTGCGGATGATAGCTGTAATATCAATTCCTTCAGCTGAAGACGGCACAACAGAGATGCATCTCTTCTTCAGGTTGCTTGTTTGTAGCCTGGCCGAGTGCTGAGGGGTGCCAAGTGACAAAGGACTCAGGGAGGAGCTATGTTCATTATTAAACAAGTAGGATGAAAGTGAATTTGTAAAGCTAGTATTCATTAGGTCTATTTCAGGATGCAGACTACCGGAGGCTCTCAGCTCCATCCCCTCCGTAATCCTCCTATGTGTGGAAGCCTCAGACAGAACCTTATAATCACTCGGGCATTCTTGTTTAATGTGCTGAGCTGGGTGACTTCCATTCAGGCATGGAGCAGCAGAATCTACTGAGTCTTGAAACCTGGGTGACCTGTAATACAGTTTTCATTAAGCATCACTAACTACCACAGGATTTATGATTTTTGTACAAGACACAACATTTGTTAAGCCCTAGAGAATGGAAGCACTTGCTCTCTGCTGAATGTTGCCTGTCTAACGCAGCAATTACACCAAAAAATTCTGCAATGTTTCCTCTACAACCCTCGTAAAGGCAGCATCGTTTTACACAGGATTAATTTTACACAGTGGGTTACGCACGGAACAGACAATCTCCCCTCCACTGCTATGGGTAGTTCATCAGTCCCAATCTAGGTTTTCAATGCATAATAGATCGGGCAAAACAATAGCTGAGAATGAAGTTCGAGAGCTTTGGGCATTTTTGAATTATTCAAATATCGGCATTTTCCTCAGAGCACACTGGGAAAATGCCCTGCCATTCTTATTCACATGAATCAAAAAAGGCTAGCGGAGCTTTGCTTGTATGCCAGAGAGATGCTGTCCTTCGCCAAATTAAAAAAGGAGCAGATCAGTGGGGAAAAAAGGAATACAAAGAAAGAACAGCTCACTTTCAACCAGTGGTCCGGAGTTGATGAAAGATCAGCTGAGTATTTACTTCTAAGAGGTCTACAAAAGATAACTAAGTTCACAATCAGTAGATTTAAACTGGCAGTCTATGTATTCCTATTTCCATTTTTCATATTAAAGTCTATCTGTGTCTGCAAATCAAAAGAAGATTGTTCTGCACAAGTGATTTTTAATTTTTTTTGATGTGTGCTGAATCCAATCACTCAGGAAGCAGAACCTTGAGGAGCCCCACGTAAACATTTCAGAAAAACACTGCATTTAGGAAACGTTTCCTCCTAACATTTTCTTCCAAGCAGTTAGCAATTGGTTTATGCCTTAAAATAAAACACTTTATTATCCCAGCTATAAACATTTACTGTGGATGACCCAACTGCGTGTTTTTTCTTAGGACCAGCGGGTGTTCCTTACATATCCCTAAAGCATGGTAGGGTTTAACCTATGGCTTCATCATGCAGTGATGTGCCAGACTGAGCAGAGGAAACAGTACATCTGTGTGCAGGAAAGCTGTACCTGAACTAATAAACCCTCCTGAGAGGTGCTCCATGGCTCTTACGCCTTAAATGAATTTTACGCTTTCTTGATGCCAGCACCACAAAAGCTGAAGAAAACCTGGCCATTTGGCAACTTGTGTGTGACTCCGCAGCTAAGACAAATCTGACATATTTTAAAGCATGAAACATATATGCATAAGGTATTTTGGACATATACATACATTAAATTGCAAAGCTGCTGAATAAGCTACATTTATTTTACAACTTTGATGATTACACCACTATGATTTCCATTAATCCACCATAACATTACGACAGGAAGCTGGGATGACTTCTAACACTTCCTTGCTAATAGCTCTCAAAGAATTAGAAAAAATAAAATGAAACAAAACCAAAAAGCTTCAAAAAGACTTCCTTCCCATGAAATGAAGGTTGTCAAAAAACGACACCCATCTGAGACACACAACTGGCAACACTGAATTCACTAGTGACAGGTTGCTAAGCTTCAACAGTTTGCAGTCATTGGGCTTGATATAAAAAAACCTTTAAGGTCATGATAGAAGCAAAATTCCCCGCCATTCATTGTTATAGAACAATCAGATCTTAACATTTGCCACCAGAAGTTTAAAAAGATTATGTTTTAAAATTTTAGCAGTTTCCATAATCCATTACTTATAATTTCTCCCTTTAGGTTTGCACAGTTGGTCTCAGGGTAAATGTAAAGCACCTGGTTTTGCAGATGGTAAATTTTTATAAAAAACCCAAACCCAACAGTATTCATACATTATTTTTTAACATTTACAGAACCACATGTCTGTAAAATATGTGGCATATGCATACGTAAAAACCTTTTATTGCACATGTTTGGGAAACCCTGCCCTGCTTGCTTCTAGCTTCATTGCTCAGTAGAAGGTGTGCTGTTTTAAACTTATTCTGAGAAAGGTTTTACAGCATACCATGCCAGGCACAATATTTCCTATTACTTAGTTTCTTCTGTGTGAGAATTCTTCTACATAATTCAGTTTGTATCACAGTTTAGTGGTCCCAAAGCCTCAGGCTAAAGTAAAATCAACACATTTCTTACATCATATAAAGCTAACCCAAGCCTTACGTTTCTGCCTGGGAATAACTGCTGTCATATTATTAAGCTTTATGTAAATTTCCCATTCTGCCAGAAATCCATGTGAGGAGTTCAAGCTGGAGTCAGTGTAGAGTACCTGCAGGACAGATGAAAACATCCCTGCCTGGGAAATATTACGTTCCCAAAACTCCCAGCAACATCGATCTGCATTTCCAGCACAAGATCTTACTCAGAGTCAGGACGATATTGCTGTGATGCTGCAGTGCAGGATATGAGACACACAGAAGAGGGGAGTTTTGAACCAAAAGGCAAGCTGAAATTCGCATATTTCCAAAGCAAATGAGATGAAGGCACTGAATTCATGCTTCCCATTGCCACAGCCGTGTCTTATCCGTGCTCTGCCTACATAAAGATAAGCACAGGCTGCTTGTGCAGCTCAGAAGCAAGTCCATTCCAGGAGCTGCAGTTTTCTCTGTAGCGCTGTATATTTAAACACATTATATGCCCTGTGTTATTTAACTCTGCTGGGAGAATGTGGCATTATTTCAACTTCCCGATGTTTGAGTGTTGGGGTTAAGTTAATGTCAAGATTGCATTAATGCAAACTTTTGTATTCCTGGCAGAATTTTGCTATCACTGTTCTAGGGAAAGCCCTGCTCGTTCCTCCCAGTCCTGGGGGGTGGGGGGACAAGGGGCTCAGAAACAAAACTGATGCAAGAGGATGGCTCCTCTTATACCCATTGACCACTTGTTCTTGTAATGACATCTTGCTCTTACAGCCAGGGATCAGGTTCCAGGCCTGGCACAGACAGGAAGTCCTGGCCATAAGGATTTCATAATCACTGGACAGTAGCAAAATATAAATGAATATGAAACAAACAGCCAAGAGGAGAGCGAGAGGGACAAAGAATAGCAGGACAGTGTAAAGAGCACTGAGTGGACACGTGGATCAGCATGAGCAGCTCTGGGGGGCTTCCAGATGAGCAGCCCTAGAAGGGAGTGGGGTCAGCAGAAGATACCCCACAAACCTCTCTTCACAGGGAGCATCTTCACAGGGAGCTCTCTTCACCAGGGATGGACAGCCTGAGGCAAGAGAATTGCTGCTTAAGCACATGAAAGCAGAGTGTAAGGCCTTCAAAGAGTAACAGCAGCCTCTCAGAGGATACTAAGGCAGTGTTTCCAAAGAGACTCCCTTACGTGGTAATTGGAGCCAGAGCACGAGGCCAGTAGCACCATGCCAGAAGTACTGCAGTTCCCAACTGCCCTCAGAGGAAAAGATGACTGTATCTGAAATCTCCAGATTATTTACAAAACATACATGCCTTCAATTGCCACTGTAAACGTGCAATCAGTGATAACTGACAGTTCTAAGAAGCTGGAGGGGATTGTTCCGCTGCACATCCAGGAGCCCTTTGCAACACTCTCTGACTGCTCTGATGTCTTCCCCGGGTTTTATACGCCGAGCACGAAGCATAGTGTGGGTGGGTCTGCTGTGTCTGATATGGATGATTTGACCAAAGGCCAACACTAGCTGTGTGCTGTCTCCAGTTGTGGTAAAGAAGGTATTAGGAGTTTTCCAGTCCCACACACGTTGCATTCACAGATAGCATGTAGCAGCAATTACGTTGCACAACTTAAAAGCTATTAACCAAGCAGGGAAAAGGGGCCAGGAAGAAGGATTGTGATTCTTGGATTAAGGCAGCCATCTCTAGAATACTGTTTCCAAGAGAAAGTGATTCAGGGAGAAGCTGAAGGGGATAACAAGTTTCAGTGCACTGAGGGAAAAAAAGACAAAGCCAATCGTAACCCCAAATCCTGAGGGAGATTTTGGATTGCTAGGGGAGGTGATCTCTGGTTTGTTTGGGTTTTCCTTGGATATCGTAGAAATGTGAGTGGTTCAAAGCTCAACCCAGAGAGGTGGTTTGAATTTGTATCTCCCTTTATTTTGGTGCTGGTCACTAGAGACGGACAGAACAGCCAAACAGAGTTTGTCCTGACTTCTACGTGCTCCAATAACTGTCCATTCCAGCCCTATTTCTTTCATCTATTTTCTAATGAAGGCTGAAATCTGGAGAGGCACAGAGCACCCATGGCTCCCATTGACTTCACTGGAACCTGATGGGCATTCACCCCCACCTCAGTTATGTTCTCCTGTTTTCAGATCTTCAGGGAAAGATCATGTTTTCTTTTACTTGCTTGTCAAGAACCTTTAGCATCACAAAAACCATGAACAGAAATCATACCAGCTGCTGCCCACCTTCTTTCACATGCCAAATTTTTGGCTCTGTACCATGTGTGTCATGAGTAGCATGGTGATAAAATTAGATACTGTGTCTATGAGCTCCGTAGAGCAGAGCTGGGCATTGGCTTTACCATGCAAATCCCATGCAGACTGAAGTAGTACTTGGTCAGGTGGACATATAAACAGAGCATGACCAGTGGGACACACAAACAACCCATAAAGGAATGAAGCATTTTTCAAGATATTCTCCAAACATTTCCAAACCGTTGCTTAGAAGCAGCAGAGCCTCAAGTCTTTAGACCATGCTACAAAGCAAAGGGGAGGGAATCAGGCCTATCACCTGCTACTTTCTCATGTTATGCAGTAGACAATCCTTTATGCTGCTCTGGGAAGCCTCTTCCAAATGGGGGCTGGAAGGGATTCAGATTTCTGAGGGTGGGTACTGTGATCCCCGGTATGCAGGTATCTGTCATTTCCTCATTATAGATTTTACAAAAAGGTTCAAAAAGATCTAAGCAGAGTACTCTCTTCCTCCTTTTGTTGCTCTGGCCCTAATTATCTTTGTTTCATAATTGTCCTCACTGACAGAATAAAAAAAGGTTGATAACTGCCAGTCCTGCATTGAGCCATAAAGAAGACAGGAGGGAGCAGACTTACATCCAGCTGTAACGGCATCTACAAATCTTTGTAGCGATAGCAGAATATTTTGTTATGTGGCATGGATATTATTTGTCTTTTTCAAACAAACAAACAAAAAACCAAACAAAAGCTCTTTCCACTTGCTTGTCATATTGCTGTGCCTCCTCCTCCTGAAAACACAGATGTTCTTTCCCACCAGTACATGGAAAAGGAGAAACAAGACATAAATATGTATAATAAATTCAGAAATAGTCAGATTTCCAAGACCAAGGTATAGGCCATATTTCCTCTTGCTGTGACTACGGAAATTTGGGCTTGATAGTTCCATGCATGGAGTGCCAATTATGCCAAGTATCTAAGATAAAGGCTGCAACTTTATTGAGGTTTTTCTTTTCTACAGCTCTTCAAAAAGGTCAAGACTATTCCATACTATATCCCCTGCCAAAAAAACAGTGTAATTAAAATAGATGGACAGATTTTAATTTGTAGCAGGCTTCTATTCACAATGGATGTCTGTTTAGGGTACTTGTTTAAAATCTGGTAATGTTAAATTTGTAACAACAACAAAAAAATAATGGAGTTCTGTGTTTTCATATAATTAATTTATAGCAAATGTTTAAATAGAGATTCTGTTCATAGCATATCCAACTACAGTGTATATATCAAAACCAGAGACCAAATTTTCACATTACGGCCTTAAAAGCAAATACCAAGGATGTGGCTGTATGGGAACATTGAAAATACTTCATTAAAGGAAATGCTGTAGAAATAAAAGTGGCATTGGCTTCCTGTAGGTTTGATGGTGGCATGCCAAATTGCCATCTGGGAGACATTGGTTTGGGAGTAAGTATCATCCCTGCCTTCCAGGCTGCAAATTGGCAACAACATGGCATTGGGGTGCAGGGTGGAGGTACAGAGGAGGCAAGTCTGACCCTACTTAAGCCCCTGGCAAAACTCTCATTGACTTTTGAGCATGCTGGAAAGGCCCCCCAGAGGGAAGCTGTATGTCAACTCCAGTGCAGGGGGGCTGTGGCTGGATGGCTGCTCCTGGCACTGCCCTGGACAGTTGTCTGTGCACACCTGCGTGTCCCTGCAGCGCGAACCTGCAAACGAGCAGCATGGTTAGATGAGCATCCAAAGGACTTCCAAAATGAGGCAAAAGCCAAAAATACTCTTCCAAACGTATCACCCACAGATGCTACTGTGAAATAGTTCCAGTAAAGACGCGCTCCAGAAGAGCAAAGCATATTGACTGACACAACTTGCAGTGGTACCTCATATCCGAGTGGGTCAAGTTCAGCTGCCCGACGTGAAGCAGTCTCTCACAGGACAGTGGGTGGTCTCGCATAAGGGAGTTTCCTGTGTGGATGAACAGACCTTGTCTGCAGACAGGTACTGAGCTACTTGTCATCTCCATGTCCATCATGTTCTTCTTCTCAGAGATCAAATTACAATGATTGTAGCCACCATTCACTGTCAAAAAAAAAAAAAAATCGTAAGCTTTTGACTAAGAACCCTCTGCAAGTGACTACTACTTTGTGCACTCATTTCAAATACCCTTGCAAAATTCTTCTAAATTACGTGGTCGTGGAAATGAAAGGTTTCACAAGAAAGTAAAAATTAATTGCAAAGGAATTTGGATCTGTGAACTATGGTTGTTTATTTCTCATTTTATGTTTTGTGGCTCTTTTACACTTCATAATCTAACTGAAAAAAACTTAGTCTGATAGCTGGTCTTCCTTCTGTGTATTTTTACAGTGGAGACTTGCCTGTATTAGGTTTTGGAGAGGGATGCTTCAGAGTCCTTTGATTTTCAGGGAAAGGAGCTCTCTGTAAACAGTGACATATGTCAAGTTTTTCTTTGCAGACAATTATCTCTGTGATTATGACTTTAGATGGGCATGTTTCTACTTCACTGTCAGGTCAACAGTGTGAAAAAATAACACTAATTTTGTTTCAATGTACACACTTAAATGTATTTTCCAAGTCAGCAATTATTACAAATGCTAGTAATGCTAATAATATATCAGTATAATATAATAATATATTCTGCTCTGATGAATATTACATTTTACCAGACTTGGAAAAACAGACTAGAGCTATAGCAATATCCTTCAGAAATATATACATAATGACAAATGATAGTCTAGCTAAAAAGAGAGGACAAAAGAGGAACTGAGAATTTGGATTGCATTGGTCAAACGCTAGCAATTCCATTTCATTTAAAGCATATTAATCAGGGTTTTTAATTCAAGTGAACCAATCAAATACTCATAGATAAGCATGAATAAAAGTATTTATAAGAAATTTAGTCTTCAGAGGCTAGCTAAAAAAAAAATCACAATAGCCACTTAGCATCATTTTCACTATTGTATATGAATCATGCTTTCAAAATACTGGATCCCTCTCTAATATATCTTTTTTCATGGAGACAAAATGTAATAGTGTCAGATACTAATGGCAAGGATGTTTCCATAGATTTCATACAGAGTCCAGAAAGTAACTCCTTCACCCTTGTACCCAGTGCTCGTAGTGATGGGTACTATAGAGCTAGACTGCACTGTAGTTAGTCCATTCTCTACAGAGGCATTGAGTGTTGCACACCGAGAAAGAAAATGAATTCTGCAGTCAAAGTGATAGAAAAGATAAAGCCTGTGCTCAGTGTCATGCAAATCACTGATTCTCACAAGCATCAAAGTATAAAAGGCACAATTCATCTCACCATAGCTTTGCTATCTATGCGTTTTACTCAGACAACGTCTATATCATTTGGCCACCTCAAAATGGTGTCTAAAATGGGCTCATGCAACTTCAAGGACATGTTTTCCTTTCCCCCTTGACTACAGAAGGCACTTAAACAAGCAACTTAAACTGAGTACCTGACTTTTAGACAGCTGCAGTTGAGCGAAATTAATCCTTCTGAGTAGCCACAGTACTTAGAAACATCCTCATCACAAATAATCTACTTTAGATTGCTCTCAGGTCTGGTCCTTCTTCTACTGAAACCCTTATTAGAACTGCCATTGACAGCACAACTTCTACCATTTCAACACTATAATTTGTGGTATTATCCAGAGCAGGTATATATCAATATGGAATCATAGAATGGTTTGGAACTGGTCTTCCTCCCTCTTTCTTACAAGCCCCCTTTACATATTGACAGGCTGCAATGAGGTCTCCCCAGAGCCTTCTATTCTCCAGGCTGAGCAATCCCAACACTCTCAGCTTTTCTTCATAGGAGAGGTGTTCCTGTCCTCTGACTGTTTTCGTGGCCATCCTCTGGACTCACTCTAACAGGTTCAAGTCCTTCTTGTACTGGGGGCCCCAGAGCTGAACGCAGTACTCCAGGTGAGTTCTCACGAGTGTGGAGTAGAGGGGGAGAATCACCCCCCTCGACCTGCTGGTCATGCTGCTTTTTCTGCAGCCCAGGACACTGTTGGCTTTCTGGGTGGCAAGTGCACATTGCCAGCCTATATCCGATTTTTCATCCCCCAGTATCCCCAGGTCATTCTCTGAAAGGCTGCTCTCAATCAATTCATCACTCAGTCTGTACTGAGTTTTATACCTATATTATATAGGTTATTACACCTATGTTATATAGGTATAATATTACATAATTAAGCAGATATCACAGTATCTAGTTAATGATATTTTAATGATATAATGGTAAATAAATTGTACTCATGAAGTTTTGCAGTTACTGTAGTTTTGCTACATGGTTTATGAAGTTCCAGTCAGAGACTGTGCTCTTTTTAGTCCTTTACTGCTTCAGCACAGCTCCTCAGAGCAAAGGTACTCTTAACTTACACGAACCCCCATTTCCTCTTACAGACAGCTGCTACCCCTATAGCTAACGAAAGGCCAGTGGGAGAGCCTGAGCTGCTGTGCTCCTCCATAATTACAGTCATGAATGCTTTGAAAGCGATGAGAATCACATTCAGGTTTTTGGTGAGTATAAATGAGAAGAAACAGGTGACTGGGCAAGGCAGAAAATGCCTCTGGTAATTGGAGAAATTGTGAAAAGGATCACAGCACAAAAGTCCATTCTCCTCCACTGGCTGGGCTCCACAGCCTCCCCATCGTGCTCCACGGCACCATTGTAATAGGGAAGACCATGGCAGATGAAGACGTGGTCCAGGCAAGCATCCAGTCCCATAGAAAAGAGTGGGTACATGTGACACCCAAATTACAAGTCTCGTGAGGCATTACTGTGACATTTCCAGAAGAGAATTCCCTTTTTCCAGTTAAAAGTTTACAGTGTTTGGCTGATACCTTTCTTGACTATTTATTTATCTTTTTTTTTTTTTTAAGAAGTCAGAATCTCTAAACCTGGAAATACAATACAGGTTTTTTCCTACTCTGCTCCATCATAATACCAGGGCATGCAATAAGTCTTAGGAAGCACAGGTCAGCATTATTGTATATAAATAAAAAGCCCTTGTAAGGCTTTTAGGAATGACATAGCAGATTTTAAAGAGAAATCAATCTGTATGTAAACTATACAAAATGAGCCGTTAGCCTTCTTCATGGTAACTAATACCTATGTTCTAGTTATTTCAGATCTATATCCAGAGTTCACTGAGCTCACTGATGCTCTGTGATTGTTCTGAATGACTCTGAAAAGACTAAGAAGCTGTACAGAAACGAAGCACCTTTTGGCCTGCACAAGGCAGTCAGTTGTACTTCGTGGTTTTGGAATGAGGCATTTATGAAGATCACTTTGGATGCCTTTCAGCTTATACTGGGTGTTTGTGACCATTAGCTCTATCCTGCTTGTAATTATGACATAGATGATGATTATATCCTCTGCAGTCCACAGCTCCATCAGGCTTTTTTCCATTCGTATTTTGGCTTTATCCCATCATAATTTAACCCATTTCAGGGGTAATATCTATTTTAGCAAGACTGTATAATCAGACTTATGGTTGTTACATGAATCACATTTAAAGGGTATCTAAATACACTTAAACACTGGTGAAATAAGTTCTATACACTTTTAAAGGCCACACCACCAAGAGAAGTTGGTAAATCAGTCATACCTACAATACTCAATTCACAGTCCCTTATTTTTTCCATCAGCAACGTTACTTGGAATATATTCAGGACGTATCTTCCCTCCAAAATACTGCAGATTATTTTAAAATGTTTAAGATTTATACCGGACTCGTAATAAAAACACTTTCTTTCTTTCTTTCCACAAATGATACAAGTCTGAAATTCATTAGGGCTCTCTAAATATGCATTTTATCAATTTTATCATATTATCAAAACACGGAAACTTGACGCTTCCACCAAAGTTCAGCAATACCAACTGCAGCACACTGATACCTATGTGTGCGAAGATGGAGATTTCCTAAAATAACATGAACCTTATCCCTGCACTGTCAAAAACGATTATCTTCTCTCGTAGCTGTCAAATCAGAAAATGCATTTTCTCCCTGCAAAGGAACAGAACACTTATGCTAAATCCGTGAAATTACCTGTGTTTCAGCCAATCCACTGCACATTTGCTTTCACAAAGTACCTTACAGATTTATTCACAAGAGCTAAACATTCCGTGCACAACAGTGCCTTATGTGAAGTCACACTTGCATCAAAGCCCTCAGAAATGTACCCACCACGTGGGAGTTGGAACAATGACGGACAAGGAACAACATTAGTGGCTCACTTTTTTTTTTTTGCCCCTGTAGCAACTAAAACAAGAACCAAGAGATTGTGTCTGAACACAGACAACCTGGGTCTACGTTTAACTGTTCAGGCACATGTGAAAGCTAACTCGTTGCCTCTAAAAAAAAGGAAGAAAAAGTCTGGTTTACACCAGTGTAACTGAGAACAGAATCTGGCCCTTTGACAACTGGCTTTGACAATTTTATACAATATTAATATCACTGGCTGGCATACACAAGATTTAAGCATTTTCCATGTCTGCAACTAGATCTCCTCTTTCACTGGTATCGAGGGGCCTTTAACCTACGTACTGTAACTCACCAATAACAGATGAAAAGAGCACATACTCCCTGCCTTGTATGAGAGGGTTCACCCTGCTTTCAGTAGAACCATAGCTATTTCATAAATCCATACAAAAAACTAATCCTAATTTACAGAGAGTAAATCTAATAAAAGCAGAATGGTTTCCAGAAGGATCTCATGGAAGTGGAATCCATCAAGGTAACTTTTGTCTTTCTCTTTTTCTGTCCTGCAGTTTTGATTTATATCTTTACATTTAAATGCTCGTGAAGGGAACGGAAGAGGTTGATACAGTAGTGTGCAAAGGCTACAATCAGGCAATTCCTTCCATATGAGTAATCAAGTTAGTTCCATTTTGGATATCTTGCTTCTTCCATTCTGAGGTAACTGACATTGGGGGAGTTTTTTCTTGATTTATGTCAAGTCATGTGAGAATCGGTCCCATTTATTGTGATGGGG